CGCGGAAGTCTCACCGCGCAGCAGCACCCCCAGCCCGGGCGGTTCCGGGGACCCAAGGGCGCGGCGCATAGGGGGCCCGTAGGATCCAAACTGCGAAAGAGGAACAGGAGGCGGAAGAAGAGAAAGATGTGGAGGAGGAGGGGAGAGAGGGTAAAGGAAGAGAGGCAGAAGACTAGTAAAAAATGGGCTCGGGGGCGCAGAGGGGTGGCGGTGGGGTAGAGAGGCGCGGAAGCCGAGCGAGTCCGGTGCCTCTCGAAAGCCTCGCCGGCCGCCCCGCCGGGCCGTGCAGCTCCGCCAACTCCCGGGCCAGCCCAGGCCGGAGCGTGGCGCCTGTCGGGAGGTTGCAGAGTTCCTGAAGCTCACAGCTGAGCCCGAAGGAAGTCGCCCTCAATGGGCACGAAGCGGGACCCAGGCACGCCCGCGCGGTCACGTCCAGATCTGCGGTCCTCCGACAGGCGCAGGCCTGCTGCGCCTTCGCCACACACCCCTACTTGTGGGCCTGGACTCCGACTCCGTAGTTAACGCCGGGATATCTCTGGGCATCCAACCACCTCCCCTCCCCCATACTCTTTTCCTCTCCACCCGACCTCTTACTAGGAGCAGCTTCTAGTTGCAGCTCAACACTCGCGAGTTCACCCTCCGCGCCAAGCACCCAACTCCTGGCCTTGCCTACAGTCACCCACAGACCTAATGATCGACTGAGCGCCGCCGGAATGGCCCGAGATGACACCAGGAGACTCCCTTGCTTTGCGCCTCCGGAAGACGCAGAACGTAGCCCCTTCTCTCACACTTCTAGGACACAAAAATACCCGACAACTCAAAATCGCCGAATCACATCTTTTCATGCTTTGAAAACTTCTGCCCAAGCCTGTGGCAGGAGCATGTCCAACTGTGATTTGGGTTTCTTTTTAAACATCTAATCAAAGGGAAGAGGGGAGGGATTCGCAACTAAATGGTAGATGTTTTCAAGCAAGTCTTTACGTAGCCCCAAACCTACTATAGTATTCGGCCATTCAACCCCCAAACATCTCTGCCTGCCTTTATGTTCGGATCTCACTCCATTATTTGTCAGCACAAAGTCCTAAACCTGCAAAGCGATAGCTGTGAGGGACACCAAACCCATACCTGCCCGTCCCCTACCTTCCAGGCAACCGGTGTCAATCTCCTCACCATTTATAATTCCCAACATCCCTGCCTGAAGTGGGGAGAACGGTAATTTAAATAATACAGCGGGAGCGGAGAGGACACACTGTTTTTGAAAGACTGTAAGCATTCTGCTCTGTTCCACTCTGCGTCCTTACACTTGCTGAGCCCTGACACCAAATTTAAACGGCGTTCCTTCAAAACTGATGTAATTATAAAGAGCTATAAAGGGCAATGACCTCAAGTGGATGTTTTTTCCCAGGTACCCTACAAGGTTTGCACAAAGCAAGAAAGCATCGTGTAGCCGAAATGTTGGAAAGTATAGATGCTGCAAAACCTCGTTCTGAGGCTGAAAACTATGAATTGTGGGTGTATTTCCTTCTGCGGTGCAGAAAAAGAACAACCAAAAAGCAAGCAACAAGGGGAAATGTTATTTATTTTAATGACACCAAAACTACCAATCCTAGCAATTTATTAAATTAAAATCATAGTCCTTTAAGTGTATTTAATGGTTCAAGTTTGTGTATTTGGTGTTAACTCTCTGTGAAAAAGTTTATGGAAAACAGTGAAGTATGTTAATTGAACAAATTTTGTATTAAAAAAGGAATAACACATTTAAAAATATTCTTATATACCCACAATATCTGTATTTCTTAGCTTGGTTCCTACTATTACATAATACAATGCATTTTTTATTTTTTAAAGAGCAAAAAGTGTTGTCACTTCTGGATCACTTTATGGTAATTCCAAGGTATAATTTTACAAACAAACATATCTATTTATAATTTTATTCAACTCACAAGAGATATTTTTTAAAAACTGAAAGTTTTTTTTTCTTCCTGATGCAAAACTTAACCAACTCCAGTTAAATTCAATATTGATCTGCCAGGGAAACGACCATAAAATTTACAGAAATTCTCCCAAAGATGCCTTTCAATTCTTCTCCTGACTTTAGTTCTAATTATACCATTTTTTTCTAATTCCTCTATAAAAATCGAATCAAATCAAAGACGACGAGGAAAGAAAAATATTTCTAGAGTGATCTTAATTAACTGATCATTTCAGCAAAGAACGTTAGCAGTGAGGAAGCGGCGAAACTGTAGGGAGAAAAAAAAGATGCATTTTGTTCTTCGTGTTTATAATCCTTCCTAGAGAACAGAAACTACGAGCATGATTTATGGAACTGCATTATCTTGGATTTTCTCCGCAGATTTGACTCAACTTAGTATCAGGGTTCTATTAAAGCGCTGGAATAGGTGGATACATCTGCAGAGGTAAGAAACGTGGTTTGGGGTGGATGAGCCTCCTTGTTGCTGGAGGGTGCTTCGAGGACCAGGCTTAGGAGAGAAGGGGTTAAGTCAGACCCTGTCTTTAGCGGCGCAACGTGCCCAGTTTTGTCTGTTAAAGTCAACGTCGCCCAAATGCAGCCAGCCAATGGACGGCCGGGAGCACCCGGGACAGCCCAGGGGGGGGTGTGGCCTGAGGCTGTCACTCAGCAGTGAGGAATGACACCCGGGCGGGAGGGGGTGGTACAGTGGAACGCAAGGGAAGGAAAGAGAAAAGAAACAGATAAAACCAGGGCAGGGGGTAAAA